TGGAATGACCCAGAGATGGGGAAGACGCGGCAGTGGAGTCACAGACGGAGAGGAGTGGGAAACTTGACTGGTTCAGGTGCGGGGTGGGCCTACACTCGGCAAAGAATAACAGGAGGTGCGGAGTGGAGGGATGGCCTGGCCGTCGGTGGGGTAGCGTTTCAATGAGGAGCGCAAAACAACGTCGCTGGACGCCAAAGGCTGGAGCAGGCGGTTCCGGCAGCGCTGGGGGAAGAAGACGAGGGATTGAAGAAGAATGTCGGCCGTTGGATGTAAATCCAACGCCATCTTAGGCTTCGACCTACTGGCCCACATGTCAGCCAGTCCATTTGTTTTTTAGTCCATTTGGTGGGCTGGGTGAAACAATGATGTAGCATCTATGCAGCCCATTTAAATCCCATTTGTATTTTTCTTGAAATCCACGGACTTGCTGGGCTGGGTGAAAATATCATGTTGGGCTAGATGAAGAAATGTTATAAAAACATAAACACATGATTGCACGTCAATAAAATCTTTGTAACTGAGGGGGTCCTGGATTAGGGGGTGTCCGGATAGCTGAACTATCACCGTTGGCCGGACTCCTGGACTATGAAGATACAAGATTGAAGACTCCGTCCCGTGTCCGGATGGGACTTTCCTTTGCGTGGAAGGCAAGCTTGGCAATACGGATATGTAGATCTCCTACCATTGTAACCGACTCTGTGTAACCCTAGCCCTCTCCGGTGTCTATATAAACCGGAGGGTTTTAGTCCATAGGACAAACAACAATCATACCATAGGCTAGCTTCTAGGGTTTAGCCTCTTCGATCTCGTGGTAGATCTACTCTTGTACTACCCATATCATCAATATTAATCAAGCAGGAGTAGGGTTTTCCCTCCATCGAGAGGGCCCGAACCTGGGTAAAAACATCGTGTCCCTTGTCTCCTGTTACCATCTGCCTAGACGCACAGTTTGGGACCCCATACCCGAGATCCGCCGGTTTTGACACCGACATTGGTGCTTCCATTGGGAGTTCCTTTGTGTCGTCGCCTTTAGGCCCGATGGCTCCTTCGATCGTCAACCACGACGCGGTCCATGGTGAGACTTTTCTCCCGGGACAGATCTTCGTATTCGGCGGCTTTGCACTGCGGGCCAATTCACTTGGCCATCTAGAGCAGATCGAAAGCTACGCCCCTGGCCATCAGGGCAAATTTGGGAGTTTGAACTACACGGCTGACATCCGCGGGGACTTGATCTTCGACGGATTCGAGCCACAACCAAGCGCGCCGCACTGTCTCGAGGGGTATGATCCAGCTCTGTCGCCGAACAGTGCCCTAGAGTCCGCACCAGCGTCTGCTCCGACCTTTAGCTCGAAGCCGACTTCGCCGATCGAGGACGAGTGGCTGGACACCGCCTCGGGGGCTATGTTCTCTACGGCGATTGAGCCGAACACCATCCCTGTCCTATGTAAAGCCCGTGACTCCGAGGTGCCGGACTCCTCTCCGGACTCCGAACCTCCCGCGCCCCTGCCAATCAAATCCGATTGGGCGCCGGTTATGGAGTTCACTTCCGCGGACATTTTTCAGCACTCGCCCTTTGGCGACATCCTGAATTCACTAAAGTCTCTCTCTTTATCAGGAGAGCCCTGGCCGGACTATGGTCAGGAAGGTTGGGATGCATACGATGAAGAAATTCAACACCCACCCACCACTCACTTTGTCCCCACTGTCGATGATTTAACCGACATGCTCGACTTCGACTCCGAAGACATCGACGGTATGGACGACGATACAGGAGACGACCAAGAACCAGCGCCTACAGGGCACTGGAAAGCCACCTCGTCATACGACATATATATGGTGGACACCCCAAAAGATGGGAATGGCAATGGAACAGCGGAGGATGACCCCTCCAAGAAACAGCCCAAGCGCCGGCGTCAGCGGCGCCGCTCTAAATCCCACCATAGCAAAAACGGTGATTCCGGCACGGGAGATAATAACACCCCGGACAGTGCCGAAGACAACCCCCTCCAACAGGATTCAGCACAAGAGGAGGGAGAAGCCAGCCCTCATGATAGAGCGGCAGACAGAGAGGTAGAGGACGATAATTATATGCCTCCCTCCGAAGATGAAGCAAGCCTCGACGACGACGAATTTGTCGTGCCCAAAGATCGCGTCGAACAGGAGCGTTTCAGAGCTTCGCGAAAAGCTAGTGTTTTTAGTACTGTCAGGTCTGTAATGCCTTTCACACCTGATGGCTGAAGCGCCCAAAAATTTACCAACGGCATCCCGGCATAAGACACTTTAAGATCCTCCTAGCGAGTTCCGATTTGTAGCCCCGTCAACTTTAATTTTTGCATACCCTGCCATTGGAGTGTTAATTACTATAAGCATACGCACGCCTTGCCACATCATATTATCTTACCGTTTAGGTTTGGCTTTTATGTTCATGGGTTGAGTGTTATTGTTTGTTTCTCGGTGGGCCTTAGGACATCTTCAAAGCCGACCCTCAAACCGTCCTCATACGTTTGGACCTCGCAGTCCGGACAAGTTGTGCCATCTAACGCGGGGGGCTTTGTGAGAGTACGGACAGCAGGCACGTAGGACTCCGACACCCCCGGCCCACCCAAAACCCTACCCAAACTTCTCCCGGTTCCCGCATCTCCATCCTCCTATCCTTCCCTTTTTTCTCTTGCCTTCACCGCCGCTCCACCACACTAGCCGCCCGGCACACCCCTCAGTTATTCGACGATTCTCGCACCTCCAATGGTACACCAGGGATCCAAGCCGCTTCTCCTCCACCGTCGTTCCAATGCTCTCCGACCGCCGCGCAGGTCATCGAGTGCGGAAGAGCAGACGCGGAGCGTGCAGAAGAGCATGTTCTCAATCTCAATGGATTGGTCAAGGGTCTTCGAGTGCTCAACCGCAACAGGGCGCGCGACCATTTGACGCTGATGTCCAACTACTTTGCCCCCGATGCCCTCTTCGCTGACAATTTTCGCCGACGGTTTCGGATGCACAAAAATGTCTTCGATCGTCTCTGCCATGGTGTCCGGTCCTTTGATGACTACTTCATCTTGAAGAAGAACGTCGTGGGAAGGATTGTCTTCTCTGATTACTAGAAGTGCACAGTTGCACTGTGGATGCTTGAGTGCAATATTTGAACTTATTTAGTTAGAAATACCTCCGCATTGGAACATTTGAACTATTCTAGACTATTTGTGCGGCTATTTTGAGTGTGCGGGCTTTAATAAAAAAAATCTGTTTCAGTCCGTATTTTTGCAACCAGTGTTTCAGTCGACTAGGACTTAATTATGTCTCAATCGATGTTGTATTCATGAGATCTTACATTAAGACCCGTGCAAATTATCTGTTTTTTTTACATGTTATTATGTTGTCCTTTTTTTTTTGCAGGGTTTTACATGTTATTATGTTACTTGACTGAGGGGACCTAGCCACATCCTTTTGCAACGATCCTTGTAGACAAACATGCGCAGCACTACAAACGAAAGAGACGCCCACATTGGATCGCCCGGTCGACCACAATCCGGTGGAAACCCAGTTACCCAGATGCAGAGCAGTACTGGTAGTAACAGCGACGTGATTAGATCATCCTATCACGGCGGAACCAGCCGGATCACGACGCGCTCGTGCGTGCGATGCCACCACCGCCGGCTTAACTCCATCCACCATCCCTTCCTTCGCGCTGACGCCGTAAACATGTCGCCTACATGTTCGACGCCGATGGACACAGCCATTACGGCGACTGATACCCATGCCGCTGTGTCCAACGTTCAGCGGTCGGCCGGCTTTCAGGCATACACCGAAAGAAAGCGAGGCCACACCACTGCCGGCTTGGCTCCCGTCCTTGGCGCGGACGCCGCAAACACGTCGCCTACATGTTCGGCGCCGATGGACACAGCCATTACGGCGACTGGTATCCATGCCGCCGTGTCGAACGTTCAGCGGTCGACCGGGTTTCAAGCAAAGCGGAGGCGATCCCAGGGCCGGCGGCTGGGTCCAGTAGCTGCTGGCGCGTCACGTCGATGATCAGGTCCTAGTCGAGCCAACCTGACCATCCCCCCCTGCCGGAATCTGAACGTTCGAGTTCGAGGATAACTTTTTTGTTGGGACCGCCCTTTCAATGTGCCGCAACCGGTTTACTGACAGCGACATGCCACAACCGGTGGGCGGCTGCACGCAGGAACCGAAACGATTGGCATTGCCCAACTCTGGCTGCATCGGCAGTTCGGCACTTTTTCTAACAGAAGCTTACGAATCAGCGCAGTTCACACATAATGACGTAATTAAGGGCCTGTTTGGTTTCAATAAGTCACCTGACTTATAAGTCAGGTGACTTAAAACCAGGGACTTATAAGTCACGCCTGTTTGGTTGTCACCTAACTTATAAGTCACCTGACACACCTCCCCACACCAATCAACATTATGCATGTGATGGAACCCACACAAAAAGGGATGACTTATAAGTTTTAAGTTGGGGTGAAGCAACTTATGACTTATAAGTTGAGGTGACTTATAAGTCGGATCTGTTTGACAAAATAAGTCATTTTCTTCACTTTTCGACTTATAAGTTGGTGACTTATTTGAAACCAAACAGGCCTTAAGATATTTTATACTAATATAATAGTAGTAGTTCCATAGTACGTATGAACAATAGCGAGATGCTGGTTTGGCATGCAAGAAAGAAATTGACCGGAATTTTGACGCTGAAAATGGCGTTCAAAGCAAGCTGACATGCATCAGCCTACAATATTGGCAGATGGGACCTACGTGTCCTGAATCCAAGACCGATTCCGTTGTGCTGCCGTCGGGGCCCACGGTGCAGACGCCCACTGCTTCACCTCTTCCCCCAATTCGCCGAAGTTACCAGAATGCCCCTCCCGGCTCTATAAATTCCGGCTAAGCCGTTCTCTTCTCAGTTTACTCTCAACTTTGAAGCATCCCAAACCACCAGACAACCACAGCAAGCATCCCTGCTCTGCTCCCGCTCTCTCTGATCTCACATGGCGACGGCGGCTGCCAGTCGGCCCAGCGGGCCGGTCCTCTCGATACCCAGCTACCACTCCGCCTCCCCCACCCGAGTCAAGCTCTCCTCCGGTGGCGCCGCCCGCTATCCGGCCAAGTCCGTCAGCGTCTCGTCTTCTTCCTCCTCGTCCCCTGCCGCCGGCAAGAGCCGTCGCTCCTGCATGTGCTCCCCGACGAACCACCCGGGCTCGTTTCGCTGCGGCCTCCACAAGGAGCGCAAGCAGGCGGCCCCGACCGGCAACAGCAAGCCCGCCTCACCACCGTCCATCGGCAGCGCCCGCTCGAAGTGCACGGGCAGCGCGCTGGTGCGGCTCGTCCCCATGGAGAGCGGGCACTGGGCACGCAGGGCGCTCTCGCCGTCCACCTCGGCGCAGCAGAACCTGCAGCGGAGGCGCGCCAGCGGCTCCCGCCCCCGGCCGAGCCGGCTCTCCGCCGTGTCCATGGCCGGTGACCGCGCCGGCGACAACCACCAGTAAAAAACCAGCGTCGACGTGCCATAGGAAAAGTAGTGAGCATAGGAGGGAAATTCCCCGTGTCATAGCAAGATAGTAGGAAAGAAATTCCCCAAATAATTCACCGGGGTCTTCCGTTTGCGGCAGAAAATTGTAGATTTAGAGCACCCAATTTGATCACACTGAGTGAGTTCATCCTCTCCCCTCTACTGTGTATACGGCCGGAGTATCTTTTTGGATAATATGGATATACATGGTTTATCCATCCTTGGATGATCTGTTTGCCCAACAACTTTCTGCCTCTGTTTCTGTTTCTGGAGCGTGGATACATCTCGCCTCTGTTTCGGTTTCGGATAAGCTCGGCGTCTCGCCGCCGCTTGGTCCCGTCACGCGGGCGGCACCCGGGACTGATCAGGAAGGGACACGGGAGAAATCCCGGCAAATTTTCATGACGCGCGCAACGCAACTGATGGTGAACTGAGGACTTTTCTTCTTCCTGGTCGTGATATTTCTTCTCTCTCGATCTAGTCGCGTTATTTTTACTGTTGGCGCGAGCGACGGCGTAGCGGTTGGGATTCCCCCTCCAACTCTTGAACTTGCGCAAGAAGAAGAAGATGCTGGAAGATCGGTGGGCGCACACAGACGCGGACACAGGTCACACAGCCGGCTCTTGCTATCAGTTCGGTTTCCTCGCCAGAAATCAGTTGCGTTGGGTTGGCGCCATGTACTACGTCAGTGTTCTCTTGTCTCTCCGTCAGATAGTACACCCCGTCGGCGTTACCTTTTCTTATCGAACGAAAAATATCATTGCACCTTTTCAGATGAACGAAGAGAGTACCGAAGATACAGATCCGGGGAGCTCCTCCCTGTTTTTTTTTCAGAAAAAAAGAGAAAGAAATACTGAGCATACACAATACGGGAGTTGGCATGAGAGTAGCATTCAGCAACCAAGGCCTTTTATGTAGGAGTGTGTACACGCACATACAGAAATAGTAGGTGCGTTGAACTGCAGACAGGCGAGAACCAAGTGGAGTTGCAGGCAGTTTAATAGAAGTAATATTATTTTAACGAACTCGTTGAATATCCGACGATCCAGTTGCTACGTGCTGCTAAGTGCTAACCATAAGAAGAAGCTCTGGAGCGTCAGCGTTGGCGGCGGCCGAGCAGGTCAACAAAACGCCTGACCCGTCGGAATAACTCGATCGCGACATATATGCAGCGAGCACCGTCGGAGGCCGGACCCGGTCGCGCGCGGGGACGCACGAATGGACTCGGCGCTCCTCAAGGAAGGTCGGCCTCTCTTGCGTCGACATGACATGTTACCCACGCACGAGGGCACGATCTAGTCAGTGCACGGTCACCAGTGCGAGAACCTGGAGAAGGGCCCTGTTTGGATACTTTTAGGTTAGTTCTCAACTGGCAGGCAATCGATGGCTACATGCCGGTGTATGTTTTTCCACTGTCTTGAAATGGATCAGAGCTTGGTTGGTCCAGGTAGGACACGAGCGCGACTGATAATAATAAGCCGGTGGAAAAAGTGCAACGAGTTACTAGTGAAGCGCGGGGTAAACGGCCTGCGCCGGAGGCAATGTAGTACTCCATCCGTCCGAAAATACATGTCATTAAAATGGACAAAAAAATGTATCTAAAATTAAAATACATCTAGATACATCTCCTTTTATTCATTTTGATGACAAGTATTTCCGGGCGGAGGGAGTACCAAGCAAGAGCGGCGCCGCCGTCTGGGGGAGCTCCAAATATACACGTGCGCCGGAGGCATAGTAGCCATGAACGACTGATGGTGCGTGCCGTCGGAGAGTTGCATCGCACAAGGCAGGGCGGGAAGATTCGATTTGTGGTGGCGGCTGGAGATGCTCTAAGTTACAAGTTACAAGTGGTGTTGCGTCGCGGTGGAGGGCGACTCCGCAGGCGACTCCGCAGGCGACGCCGCGGTCGTCCCCTCGGGCGAAGCGGCGGCCGGCGGCCGGGATCCTCCAGCGCTGCCAATCCTGCCGGAGCCTCCACCGCGGCCCATCTCCTCTCCGCCGCCCCTCCGCCATGCGGATCCTCGGCGACTTGCGCCGGATCCGATCCGAAATGCGAGGATGCCGGATTCGGAGACGGCCCACGATCTCTCCCCTCTCTCGTCATCTTGCCCGGATCCCTCGACGGCAGATCAGGATCGGATGTTTTTGAATCATACTAAATGGTATGTGCGTTTCCAGGATGATAGAGAGGCGGGGACATGGATCAATGGCCTGATCTACTCGCACCCGTCCCGTTGGATGACGATCCGCGATGAAGAAGGAGATATTTTAGCCGGACGACATCTCAACGTTGACGAAGATCTTGCTGTTGGTAAGAGGTTTATTATTGATTCTTTCCATATCGATGTTCTTGAGTGTGTGCAGGAACCAGGGTATGTGATGAACAAATTGAGTCTGTAGATCTCACAAGTGACGCCGAGGAGCCCAAGCCTGCGCGGCGGGTTGGGTGGCGCTTTTGGATACTAGCCGGTGATGAAGAAGATGATGTTGAGGTTCTGCCGGAGGCGCCGGTGAAGTCACCATCTCCACCTGTTGTGGCCATATCTACTTCGGAGTCTAAACCTAAGGTGAGTTTTAAGAACTCGAGATCGTTGGTTACGTCGGATACTTCGCAGAAGTCGAAGGTGAAACCATGGAAGGGACCGTGGCCAAAGGATGGGCCGACGGCCATCACTTTGTCAGATTATTTTCATCCCGACTGTTGGACGAGAGTGACTCGGCGCAAGAAAAGGGGTGGTTCGAGGGTGTCACAAAGTTCGCCGGCGGTGGCCGTGCCGTGTGACATCCGAGCAGCCAGATTGATGCGTTTGAACGAGTTGTTGGGCTCGGTTGGACTGCCTGGCAGTTCCTGCGATCTTGGCCTGGTCAGTACTGGGCTTGAGGCCCAGGGAGCTGGCCAGGCACACGACGCATGGGTGGCTTGCGTGCATGAGGGGGCCTTGGATCGATCGCCCCCGCATGCACGTACCCCCTTTCTCCTTCCGCTTATCCCTGCTAGGGTACGGCGTTGTGGACGTGTGGGTTTTCCATCTGCTTCCTTGTGCCATTCCTCGTGAGTGATAGCCGGAGTCAACCGGCGCCTGCCCCTTGTTTCCCAACGCCCGGCCATGCCACCCAAACCGCCGCCGCCGCGGATGCCTCCTGTGGCGAGAAGCCAGTCCAGGGCCGCGGGCGGTTCGGCCCCTTCGGCGGCGGGCGCTGTAGCGTCGGGTCTTGCGCGGATGGCACCTCCGCCCCGGGCGGTTCCGGCGCCGATTCGTGCTGCCCCACCGCCGCCTCGGGCGGCGCCTCCACCACCCGCTCGGGCCCCGCCCCCGCCGCCACAGTAGCCTAGGGCTGACCCGCCGCCTCCGACTAGGGCTGAGCCGAGGCCGTGGCCGAGGCAAATGGCGGTCGGCCGCGGTGACCCTGGACATGGCCCGCCCGGCCGTGGGGTTGGGGCGTCGCAGGGACATGACCGGAATCCCCCCCGTGGCCGGTGGGGTGATGACGGTTACGACGCCTATGGTGCTGGGTTGCATCGGGGATCTTCGTCCTCCGGCGGGGGTCGTGGCTATGCTTGGACGGTGTCACCCGATGTCACCGATCCTGTTTAATATAGTGGCTGATATGCTCACTATCTTAATAGGTCGGGCAAAGGATGCAGGGCAGGTAGGTGGCCTGGTCCCACATCTAGTTGACGGAGGGATTTCCATTCTTCAGTATGCTGATGATACAATCATCTTTATGGAGCACGACTTGGCGAAAGCACGAAACATGAAGCTGCTGTTATGCTTATTTGAACAACTTTCTGGCCTCAAAATTAACTTTCACAAGAGCGAATTGTTTTGCTTTGGAAGAGCAAAGGAGGACCAGGACACGTATAAACAATTGTTCGGATGTGAATTGGGTTCCTTACCGTTTACGTACATAGGTATACCCATTCATCATCGTAAGCTAACTAACAGTGAGTGGAAATGCATCGAGGATCGCTTTGAAAAGAAACTGAGCTGTTGGAAAGGAAAGCTCATGTCATACGGAGGACGATTGATTCTGATTAATTCGGTCCTTACCAGTATGCCTATGTTTCTCTTATCCTTTTTTTCAGGTTTCGGTGGGAGTCAGGAAAAGGTTAGATTTCTACCGATCTCGGTTCTTTTGGCAGATTGACGACCTCAAACGAAAGTACAGGCTTGCTAAGTGGGATATAATATGTAGGCCGAAGGACCAAGGGGGTCTAGGCATTGAAAATTTGGAAGTTAAAAACATATGTCTCCTTAGCAAATGGCTTTTTAAACTTTCGTCCGAGACGGAAGCTACTTGGGCTCAGATTTTGCGGAATAAGTATCTTTATGCTAAAACCTTGGCCCAGGTAAATGTGAGGCCTTCCGACTCACCTTTTTGGAAGGGTTTGATGAGAGTCAAACAGCTTTTTTCAACAAGTCAACATTTATTGTCGGGAATGGAGCCACTACGAGATTTTGGGAGGATACGTGGCTTGGGGAGACTCCCCTTGCACTTCAATATCCTACTTTATACAACATTGTGCGACGTAGAGAAGCTTACGTTGCATCTGTTCTACAATCCACTCCCCTCAATATTAGTTTTCGGAGGACGCTAGTCGGAAATCGTTGGGAGGCTTGGCTCCACCTTGTTAGACGTTTAATGGAGGTTCGGCTGACCCAGCAACCAGATCAGCTGCATTGGAAACTTACTAAGAACGGTGCGTTCTCGGTTAAGTCTATGTATCTGGATGTCATTAACTCTAGCGTTGTCCCTTCCTCGATTCATGTTTGGAGAGTAAAGGTTCCCTTACGCATCAAAGTATTTATATGGTTTGTGCATAAACAAGTCATTTTGACTAAGGATAACCAGGCAAAACGCAACTGGATGGGCTCATCTAGGTGTAGCTTTTGCGATAATAACGAGAACATCAAACACCTCTTCCTCGATTGTCCGTTGGCTAAGATTCGGTGGCGGTCGATTCATATTGCGTTT